GAGAAGCATCGGTTTTGGTTTTCCATTTGCATCGTTTCCCTTCTGGTCAAATTCTATACTGTGTTTTTTTTTCCTGGTTTTCATCTGGGGAAGTCCATTGTGGTGTGGTGGCCTAGAGGTGGAGTTCTCACCTCACAATCAGGAGGTTGTGAGTTCAATCCTAGGTAGAGGCAGGTATTTCTCTGTCTGGGCACAATGAGAATATATATCTGCTGAAAAACAACAACTCCTCATTGGTGACAGGAAGGGCATCCGGCCAGTAAATACTCAGCTCCACTCAGTTGCCCAGACTCCATTCCACAAGGGATTATGTGGTCATTAAAAGATTCTGGGGAAGTCCATTGCAACTTTGGAACAGCTGCTAAGAAACCATTTCAAATTATAACAGACTCCCAAAAAGTCCTTATGACACCCTTCTGGGGTTCTGACAGCTATATGCACACACACTCACACAAACACAACGTGGTCATGTGTGATTGCAATGAGCCTTTGGCAACTGGCTTGCGTTTATGGCCTTTTGCAGGATCCAGTCCCATTACTGCAATTTGTGGTGGCTTTTGCTGGTTTCCGACATTCTGTTTTGTGGCAAAAGACACTCACTGGATAAAATTGATTTGTTTGTTGATCCCTGTGTTCATTGATGACCATGTCACTTGTTTAACAACCTCTGCAGAGAAAAAGCCATACAATTGGGCACCATCACATGGTGATCCACTTAACAACTGCAATTCTGGGTTCAATTCTGGTCATAAGTCAAGGACTACCTGCAGCCAAATGCAGATCTGGAGTCAAGTTTTTAAGCTTTGCAGCGACTGCCTTAAGAGATGGAAAGAAGGGTGTGGGCGTGATCTGTAATTCCAAATCAACATGATAACCTTAAAAAAAAAATGTGTTTGGAATTTTAATAGAAGAGTGCACATCCAGAGTGGATCCAGCCACACGGCCTGCAGATTCAGATCCTTCCTGCCCCGTTCAGAGAGAGAAATCCTGGAGGGCTGAAGGTAGGTGTTGTTTTAGTTGTGATGTGGAAGGGAAAATGGATTTTCTTTCTGTATGAAACATTTGCAGCAATGTTTCTCAGACCTGGCAGCTTTCAAGATGGCTGGCGGGGGGAAACTCTGGGAGTGGAGGTCCTCGAATGGTTTTGCTCCTTTATACTACGTAGTAGTAGTAGTAGCAGCATGCAAGAAGAGGCAGGAAAGGAGAAAGGAAAAGATGAAAGGCAAAAAGAAGAAAAGATGGGAAGAGAGCAAGGAAGGAAAAAGAAGGAAAGAGGGGAAGGAAGAAGAAATTAAAAAGAGGGAGGGAGGGAGGGAAGGAAGGAAGGAAGATAGATTATAATGAGAGGGAGGGAGGGTCTCATCAAAGTCCTGCCTTAGAACTTGGCCACCACAGGTGCCTCCCCTGACACGAGTCCCATGTCACACCCACCAGGACCACACACACCCCAGCCTTCCCCAGAGGTCAAACACAACTGGCCCTCAATGAAATTGCGTTTGACACTCCTGACATAGAATAATAGCAATAGTGGCGAATATCTGCAGCTCGGGTGTAGGATGAGGGTGAAGGTTCCTTCTCCCAAGCTCGGAGAACGAACCTTCACCCTCGTAGTATAATAGGGTGGGAAGGGACCTTGGAGGTCTTCTAGTCCAGGGGTCCCCAACCACCGGTCCGCGGACCACCATCTTTTTTTCATGAAAAAGTGCTTCCGGTGAGCTTTTCCGGGTAGAAAGCTCACCGGAAGCACTTTTTCATCAAAAAAAGATGGCGGCGCCCAGCTGATGCCAGTACCGGGCCGTGGCGTCAAAAAGGTTGGGGATCACTGTTCTAGTCCAACTCCCTGCTTAAGCGGAAGACCCTACACACCAGCAGCCCCCAACCTTTTGGGCACCAGGGACTGGTTCTGTGAAGAAAGGTCTTTCTGTAGACCAGAAGGCATGGTTTTGCATGCTGCCTGCATCCTGTGGCTGGCTCCTCACTTGTTTGCTGGGATGCCGTGGCCCGGTGCCGGCCACGGACCGGGTGTTGGGGACCCCCTGCCCTACACCATTCCAGACAAAGGCCTCTAGCACAATGGTAAGATCTGTGCAGATGCTGCTTTTCTGGATTTCTTTAGTGATGGGAGTTGTCTCCTTTCGGCTTTTTAAGGCAGCCCTTGGTCTGTGGATGACATTTTGACCGAAGATGATGAAGACGATAGGGTGCCTCTCCAGAAACTTCAGCTGTTGAGTAAGTTTTCGGCATAAAATAAAGAGTTTCCTGCAGTTGAGGAAACTTTCCTTTTTCAATCTCCTGCAAATGTTTGTTTGAATGAGATTACTAATGAAATCCTGATGATCTCCTTGCCACTGAGGGAACTAATTAAAAAATAAGGCAGTCGGAAGTCCTTGACTTATGACCACAATTGAACCCAAAACCTCTGTTGCTTCTAAGCAAGGCAGTTGTGAAGGGAGTTTTGCCCCCATTTTATGACTTTCTGGTTAAGAGTTATTAAGTGAATCACTGGTTATTTAGTAACGTGGTTGTTAAGTGAATCTGGCTTTCCCATTCACTTTGCTTAACTGAATGTTGCAAAAGTTGGTTGCATGACCTTGGGATACTGCAACTGTCATAAATATGAGTCAGTTGCCAAGCAAAATTCACTTAACAATTGTCTCACTTAGGAACAGAAAATTTGGGTTCAATTTTGGTCGTAAGTCGAGGACTACCTGCATTTGACTTGTCCCTGATCCTCAGACATCTTAGATGCCAAGAACCTTTCAGTATCTGAAATTCTCAGCTCAACCTTCTTCATTTCCCTCCCTTTTCTTAAAACAGGGGAATCGGAAGAGCTCCGAGCCATCCTTTCGAATCCTCACCTCCGCACGCTGCTGCTGACCATTGACCAAGCCAACAACAAGAGTGCTCTCATGAGAAGATACATGCAGGAGCCTGTCTTTGTGGAGTTTGCAGATTGTTGCCTGAGGACTGTCGAGCCGGAGGTGGAGGAGAACGAAATTCCAGAGTGAATGTCTAGGAGTCAAGTAGAGGTTTCTCCAGCCCTGGAAAATGGCTAGCAAATCTGGAGATGCTTTGTCTTATTCACTGCCAGTTCTGTGTTGGAATCTCTTGGACAGAATGGGCCACGCTGCTCCCAAGAACAGTTGATCCAAGCATAGGGGTCATTTTCACAAGCTGAATTTTTTTTTTTTTTTTTGAACTACCAAATTTTTGCCAGTTTCAAGAGTGGCAATTCCTCTGGTTTTGAAAGGGAGAAAGATGCTTTTATTTTTAAAATAAATCCTTTAATAAAGTCTAACCTCCTTTTTGCACTCTGGTCTGATTTTATATCATGTGGGAATGGGAGAAAAGTCAAAATTTTACTTCTGGAGTATAAAACTGATGCAGTAAAAATATCAAAACCAGCCATATTTATAATCATCTCAAGTTTATTACCTCTTAATTTACCGTATTTATCGGCGTATAACACGCACAGGCGTATAACACGCATCTTCATTTTAAGAGGGAAATTTCAGGAAAGCGCCCGTTTCACCCCCACTCCCACCCCCCCGCGCGCGCTTCAATCCACAGTGTCCCATTCTGCCTGCCTGCCTGCCTGCCTTAGTTTCTGGTTGTTTGGGAGCAGCTTCGGCTGAGAATAATAACTATTCGCCTCTTTTACTCAGCCGAAGCTGTTCCGATTCAACCATTAACGAAGGCAGGCAGGCAGGCAGAACGGAGCACTGCGGGCGGGCGGGCGGGCGGGCGGGGTGGGGGTGGGGGAGAAAGCTGCGGCGACAGGAAAAGCCCCCCCCCCCCCGCTTCTTTGAAGCAGTTTCTTCCTGTGCTGGTGGAGGAGCGAGAGAGCGACTGACAGAGCTGACCCAGAGAGAAGGACAGGCTTCGGTTGCTTCCTCCCTCCCCTTCTTTCATTTGTGTCCTTGATCCCCGATCCCAGCAGCATTCACCGAAGGCTTCTTAACATTATATCGGCGTATAACACGCATACATCATTTGCCCCCTATTTTCAGGGGGAAAAAAGTGCGTGTTATACGCCGATAAATACGGTATACAGAATATAACGCAACCCAGAAGTTAGGAAGAATGATCGGGGACTATTACTTTGACCTCTGCCTTTTAATAATTTATTCTTTTTTCTGACATTTTAAGAAATATTTTGAACAAAACAGCTGCATCTCAGAAGAATTTTTAAAATAACTCTTCAGGTTTTTTATTAAAAAAATGCCCAGGCATCCGGCTTTTTCCTCATTACATGGGGGACACTGACAAGTGCAGCAGATTTAAAAAAAATATATAAAGTTCTCACTACATTAAAATGGTGTCTTTGGTGATTTAATGGTGTGGCCATTAAAAAACCCCTGAAGATTTCTCTCCTGTGGTATATCAAACCTACAGCACCCTTTTGAAATAAACATTGCTATATAGACACATTTTTTTTAAAAAAAATAGCACCCTCAAAACTAGCAGGATTGAAATTCTACTGGCTCCTGGTTTTAATAAGATTTAGAGCTGTTACATGCTTCAAAAATGATTTGGAAGAACCATTTTGTGCCTGTACTGATCCAAAAACAGCACCTCTTTGCAATTTGTTAAAAAGTCTTTTAAGATTGAGGATTCTACAGAAACATAACATAAAAATGCTGTTGCTTTAAAGTTCTACATAAAGCCCCTGGATTCCTTGAAGTATCTTATTTAAAAACTTGTATGGAAACGTGGAAAAAGGTAGGCTGTTTTACTGAATAGCAGTAAAGTGTGGTGCTTTGAGCACTTCCCAATCATTTTCAAGGTGTGCACAAGACATGTTAAGATTTGCTTCCTGATTCTGAAAATAAAGGATCAGACTATCAAGGAGATGGGATCCTTTCATTACACTAGATTACCGGCTGCTATCAGGCCAAATAAAGCATTGGAGGTAGCTTGTTTCTGTTATATGCATACAACCATCCCAAAGGGGCGGGGGGAGTACAATTTAATTGATGGATTGAATGAGTGGGCCTCTGCATCTGGACTAGTGCTTCTCAACTGTGGCCCCTTTAAGATGGGTGGACTTCAGCTCCCAGAATTCCCCAGCCAGAGAATTCTGGGAGTTGGTCCACCTATCTTAAAGGGCCAAGGTTGAAAAACAGTATTTTAGACAAGCTCTGTATTGGGAAGAAGTGCTTAAGTTCTCTGGTCCTCCAGGAAGCATCCTAAGAAGAGCAATAAATACAGGACTAATCAAGGGCCCCAGAAGGACCCTTCCAGACTCAAGGTATTGTGCATTTATCAAGGAGAATCTGGTTGAACCCGGTCACTATGTGGCTGTATGGCCTGGTGTTGGCATAAAGCAGCGGAGACTTTCTGCAGTAGATCTTGACGGAGTCCTGAAGGGAAAAAAACGATAACTAGATGACCAAGGCATTATACAAATTAAAAAGATACAGTAATTGCAAAACGGCATCAAATTTGAAGCAAATTGGACGGTTATTTACAGTGAAGATAAACTGAGGGGCACAGTTAACATATATATTTCAAGCAAGGCCCAGTGATACAGCGAATGTGCAATCTATTTTTTTTTTTATACTGATATATTTATTGGTTAATTTTATTTGCCACCCATCTTGACGTGCGTCTACTTTGGGTGGCTCACAACCATAACATGAAGAAACCAATAACAGTAGCAAAGGAATAAAACAATAAAGAATGGAAGTACAATAATATGAAATTAAAAAATATGGGCAGAGGGGGACTGGGAAGCACAGAGGAGAAGTGGGGTCAGTTAATTAGTCCAGTAGCCACCATATATATTATTTTGGACTACATATTCCATAAGATAAAACAGCTACAGGTAATCCACGACTTACAACCATTTGCTTAGCGACTGAAGTTATAACATTGAAAAAGGTGACTTACAACTCTGTCAGCATCCCCATTCGGGTTGCTTGGCAACCAGGCATGTATTTACGATAATTGCAGCATCTCTAGGTCACGTGATCATCATCTGCGACCTTCCCAGCCAGCTTCCGAAAATCAAAGTCATGGGGGAAGTTGAATTCGCTCAACAACTGCATGATTCACTTAAGGGCAGTGTTTCACTTAACAATCGTGGCAAAAGGCCATAAAATCAGAACGACTCAAGAACAATCTTGCTTAGCGATGGAAATTCTGGTCCCAATTGTTGTAAACTACCTGTACAGGTAGTCCTCAGCTTACAACAGTTCATTTAGTGACCGTTCAAAGTTATACCACCAAAGAAAAAAGTGAGTTAAGAGCATTTTTCACACTTTTATGACCACTGCAGCATCCCCATGGTCATGTGATTTACAGTTGGATGCTTGACAACTGACTCATTGCTGCAGTGTCCTGGGGTCACGTGATCCCCTTTTGCGACCTTCTGATGGGGAAGCCAGATTCACTTAACAACCATATTACTAACTTAACAATTGCAGCGATTCACTTCAGCTGTGGCAAGAAAAGTCATTAAATGAGGCAAAACTCACATAACAAATTTCTCACTTAGCAAAAAAAATTGTGGGCTCCACTGTGGTCGTAAGTCGAGGACTACCCGTACGATGCTAGGAATGGCTAACATAGCAGTTATTCTAAATATTAATGAAAAGAAGGACTGGGGTGACATGATGGCAATGTTCCAATTTCTCAGGGGCTGCCCCAAAGAAGAGGAAGCCAACCTATTCTCCACAGCATCTGAGGGCGGGACAAGAATCAATGGGTGGAAACTAATCAAGAAGAGAAGCAACCTAGAACTAAGGAGAAATTAATCAGGGGAACAACTAAGGAGAACAGTTAATCAGGGGAACAACTTGCCTCCAGAAGTTGTAAATGCTTTAACAGTGGAAGTTTTTAAAAAGATGTTGGATAACCATTTGTCTGAAGTGGTGTAGGGTTTCCTGCCTAAGCAGGGGGTTGGATTAGCCCAGGGGTCGCCAATCTTTTGGACCTCAGGGACCACCAAACTCATAATTTTAACCCCTGGGGACCACTAATATGAATTTTGACTGACGGTGGCTTGCTGATGTTGGTGGGAGAGAGACAGAGAGATTTGATCTAACCTCTCTCTCTTACTCACACACACACACAGAGGCAGGAGTGGGATTAAAATTTCTTAACAACCGGTTCGTGGGTGTGGCCTAATTTGTGGGTGTGGCTTGGTGGTCATGTGACTGGCTAGGCATGGCTGTATATAAATATTATAAATATTTATGTAAATATTGATATTTTTTTATAAAGAGCAATTTTTACCCAAAACCAGGCAAAGGCAGGCAGATTTGAGTTGCTCACAGAATCATTCAGAGATCTATTATCTATCTGCCATCGACTACCTGAGTCTGTCACATAAAATTTGCTTGCAGTGAGTCTGTACTGAATAACAGAAGCTTCAATCCTAAGGAAAGTTCTAAAGATTAGCTAGAAAGCAAGAAATGCAATAATTTCCTGCTTTCTAGCTAATCTAAAACTCCCGGCACAGCAGAACAGCTGATGGTTGGAAAAAAAAGAGGAAAAATAGCAACTTAGCAGGCAAGTTCGCCAGGTAAGGAGTGAGTGGGTGGGGAGGGTACCTGTAGGCCATGTGGGTGGCACAGCCTTGTGTTTCTGTGCAGCCTGGATTAATTCTTTGGGGGGTGGTCTGGGGGTGACATTTTTCTGTGGAGCACCAAAATTTTCTCGCGGACCACCAGTGGGCCGCGGGTCACCAGTTGATGACCGCTGGACTAGAAGACCTCCAAGGTCCCTTCCAACTCTGTTATTGTATTCTATTCTAAATTCACTGGGTCTCCATGTATTTGAAAAAAATGGTTGTGCCCCAGTGTTTGGTTGAAAATTATTTAAGCGTGGCTGTTTTCCAGGGACGTGAGTGTGCGAGTGAGCAAAATTCTAAGTCAAACGTGGAAGTGTGTGTAACAATAGTCCTTACTTGTGGGGGAGCTCGGATGGAGTTGACACCTTGTATAGTGAACCTGGTCTCTGCCTTGGTCCAGTTCATCTTCTGTAAGACTTGGAAGCAAGTTAGCAGAGCAAGGTTTCTCTGGAGCCCCTCCAGCGTTGTCGGGGTGCTTGACAGAACAAGGCTGAGAGGCCAGAAACAGATGATGGAATTCAGAGGCCAGGATCTGTCCAGTTTTCTCGCAGCCTGGCCTGAGGGAGCAGCTATCCTAAGGACAGAGGGAAGGGGATGTTCTTCCATGCCATCCAGTTCTTCGGCAGCTATCACAGCCATCTTGGTCTACGGAAGAGTTAAAAAATACTCCACGTTATCCACCAAGTGTCAGTACAGGTAGTCCTCGACTTACGACAATTGAGCCCAGAATTTATGTTGCTAAGTGAGAAATTTGTTATGTGAGTTTTGCCCCATTTTACAACTTTTCATGCCACATTTATTAAGTGAATCACTGTAGTTATTAAGTTAGTAACCTAGTTGTTCAGTGAACCTGGCTTCCCCATT